CAGGAAATCTGCTCACATAGGAAGCCAAGAGCACAAATCTTCAGACACAGGCCCCAAGGGGGTGGCGGAGAGTGAATTGCAAGTGGTGGTGCAAAGCTTTAGATCTGAAATCTGGCTTCTAGTGATGCACTTCTGCTCGATTGTACTACCTAAATGCACCAGTGCCACCAACCCTGGGCCAAGGGTTCAGATGTCTAAGACTAGAAGGAACATTTTTCACTCAAATTACCACAAGATGTTTAAGTACTCCTAGCTTTAAACATTCTTCTCAGGTCTTCCTTAGCTATATCTCCAGTGTTCTGGTTAAGCTATGCTTTCCATTTTAATTTGTTTAGGACATTTTTAAACCGGGGGGCGGGGGGGGCGGCCGGGGGGGGGGGGGCACGGATGGTTAAGGTGTTATTGTTCAGTCTCTTTATTTATGTAGTTTCTGAAATTTTTCTTGCTGTTGATTACTAATTCTCTTGCCTTACGTTTGGATAAGATAGAAGATTTTAGTTGTTTTGTATTTAGTAGGCCTTGATTTGTGCTCTAGGATGTGGTCTCATTTAAAGAAGGTTCTCTGGACTACTAAAAAGACTATATAGTCTGTACCCGCTAAATGGAATTTTCTGTGTATATGGTTTTACCACTGAGTTTCTTTGACTTTTAATTTGAATGGCGTATTTAGGGGAAATGGAGGTATTGAAATTACCCATTATTGTATAAGGACCTATGTGACCTTTTATGTCTGTCATTAATATTTCTTTGAATTATAAAATTGGGAACTCCATTTATTGCATATATACTTATAATTATATTTCTTGATTAATTGATCTCTCTTATCTCTTCTGAATAATTTTAGTTTAAAGTCTACATTATCAGATACAAAATAAATACACCAGCTACTTTTCAATTCTCATTTGTTTGATCCTAGTGAATCATATATCATGAAGACAGTGGTTAGATTTAGTTTTTTGATCTTGTCAGACTGTCTCTGTCTTTATTGGTAATTGAGGCTATTTACATATAAGGCTACTATTTTGAGAGATGTTTACTAATTTTTGTGATTTTGAAGGGTAGAATCACTTTTCTGTATGGTTGGATTATTGATTGGTCATTGATTTCTCCCGAAAGGTTTTCTTGCTCAGTATTGAATATGATGAATTCCTGTTGTGAAATTTATGCTTCTTACGTGCTTATGATCAAGACTTCCTTCTATGACTATAATATTTAAATCTGTACAGTGCTGGCTTGGTGTTCGAGATATTGAACCCTTAGTTTATATATTTTTTTCAAATGTCCTTATTTATCAACTTTAAAAGATAGCTTTGCTGAATATAGTCATCTTTGTTAGCTGTTACTTCAGGACTAGAAATAAATTATTTCAGAATTTCTTGACTTTTAGGGCTGCTAATTTCTGATGTGTTTGACTCTTTGAATTGATGTTTTTGCTTTATCATTTTTTTTTTTTGCTTAGTATTTGCGATTGACTAGAGTTAGAGCAAGGTTCTGATTGTTCAGGATTCCAAGTGCCTCTTCTTTTTGGATATTAATTTATTTCTCCAGATTTGGGGAATTTGTTATAATTTCACTTAAGTAGACTGTCTATGTCGTGTTTAAGCTTTATACCGCAGAAGTCTTGGTCTTGGTCTGTTGATTATATTGTAAATTTCTTAGATGTTAGTCATTTTTCTTTTATTGATACTTTATCATAGAAGGTACTGAATTCAGTCGGGTGCTTTTCTACATGAATTAAGACACGGGTGGATTTGATTTTTGTGGGTTGAATTTTTTATCCTTGGATAAATCCTGATTGGTCTTGATGTATAATCATAATATCCTGAGTTCAACTGTTCTTCCTTCCTCAGCCTTCTAAGTAGCTGATACCACAGGTACTAGTGTCTTGATGAACCTTCCATCTCTTTACATTCAAATATTTGTGCTATTGATCCTGTGATAGTATCTTATAGGCTGCATTTTTTTTTGTTTGTTTTTAAATCAATCTGTTAAGAGAAAAGGAGAGTTTTAAGTTAGCTTTTTAGTTGTTACTAGGGGATTTTTAAGTTAGCTTTTTAGTTGTTACTAGGGGATTTTTAAGTTAGCTTTTTAGTTGTTACTAGGGGATTATAACTATCATCTTAACTTTCTTGGTGTTTTTAGAGATAGAATCTCACCATGTAGCTCTGACTGTCCTAGAATTCACTATGCAGGCCACCTGTCTCTACCTCCCAAGTACTGGGATTAAAAGTATACACCACTATACCCAGCAGCATATTTTAAACTTTTTAATGGTCATGTTTTAATTCAGTTTAACTGTTTCAAAAATAAATAAAACCCATTTACTATTTTTGCCACAAATTATATCTTTGCAAATTGTGTGTCTGTTAATATAAATATGACAAATTGATGTATTTGTGGTATAATAACCATAACAAAAAGAAAAAGTTCTACCTCCAGAATGGTAGCTTATAGGTGGCTGCCATACCCACCTGGTTCTGGGGATTGGAACTGTGGTCCTCAGTGTTGCATGGCACAAACTTTATCCACTGAGCCATCTCCCCAGTCTCTGATTGTAGAGTGTTAAGTATTTGCTTACAGTTCTTTTAGATTTTTAAGGTCATGAGTTGAAACAGCTCTATAAATCAGAGCTGCAACACTTATGGCTTATGCTCTTAACTATGTATCTTTGTTGTTGTTTTATGTTTTGTTATTGTTACTACTTCAGTAGGTCCCCTGGATAGTTAACATCTCAACTTGATTTAGTCTATACTATACCTAGGAGATGAGTATATCTGAGGAAATTTCTGAATTACATTAATAGAGGTAAAAAAAGACCCACCCTAAATTGGATGGAAGCCATTCCCTGGTCTAGAGAGGATTCCAGACCTTGTAAAAAGAAGATAAGCTTTGCATTAGCTTCTGTCCCCATCCCCCACCTCCCACTTCCTGACATGTAGTCAGCTGCCTTCTAGTCCTGCTCATGTGACTTACTTATCTTGATGGACCTTACCCTCAAACAGTGAACCATAAATAAAAATCATTTTTCCTCAAGGTGTTTCTAGTGGGTATTTTGTCATAGCAATGATAAAAGAATTAATATACTCCTTTCTCCAGTTAGCACATCGAAAAATATTTTTAGGCATTTCCAAGTAGTCCCTGAAATGCAGTGTCTCCCCAGAAAAAAACAAAACAAAACAAAACACTGCATGCTATGAAGCACCTTGAGGGTGACAGGACATTGCTAATACTGTTAACATTTACAGTGGAGTACAAGAGTGTGTTCTGCTGTACTATAATGTATAAAGAAAATACTTAGTGGTGATAGTTACAGTTTTAAAGTGCTATGGGAATTCTGAAGAAGTAGATTCTAAGTGGAAATAGCAAAGAAAGTGTCAATGAGGAAGTGGTGTTTTTATTGGTGTAATGATCTAGAGAAACAGTGTGATATTCATTTGGTAAGTGTTTGTGTTTGTAATGCAAATAAAAGGAGTTGGAAAAAATACTACTGGCAGTAGCTCTCAAAAAAGAATTAGCTATTAAATCCTTAGCATTAAGTGGCAATCTGTTCTTTAGAGATACTATTGTTTATAGTATTAACATGCTTGAATCTGAAGGGAAAGAGATTAGGCCTGGTTTTTTTTTTCTTTTCTAACTTAACCTGTTTCATATTTCTATCAGTAGGAGGTTAATATAAGAGTTTTTGTTTTGGTTCTATAAAGTTTTTTTTATAAGGCATTAGTTTAGCTGCTATATGAGACTGGTTCAGTGTCAGAAGGCATGCAGTCGAGAATTGCAGAATAGAAAATGGTGGCAAGCACTAACACTACATCCACATGTGATATTTCATTAGGGAAACTAGCTCTCTTATGTTCAACTATCTCTACCCAAGTGGATACGTTTGGGAGTGTGTGTGTGTGTGTGTGTGTGTGTTCTCATTCATATGTTCTATAGCTCACCTGTGTGTTTCTGATGTGGATGTAGGGGCCCAAAGTTAATATCTAGTGTCATCCTTAATCACTCTGTTCTTAATGAAGTAGAGTCTTTCACTGAACCTAGACCTTGCCAATTCTATCTAACCTATCTAGCCAGCATGCACTAGAAATCTCAGTTCTATCTCCAGAATGGTAGCTTATAGGTGGCTGCCATACCCACCTGGTTCTGGGGATTGGAACTGTGGTCCTCAGTGTTGCATGGCAAGCACTTTATCCACTGAGCCATCTCCCCAGCCTCTGATTGTAGAGTGTTAAGTATTTGCTTACAGTTCTTTTAGATTTTAAGGACATGAGTTACATAGAAAAGAGTACACTGATTTTACAAGTACATCTGTATATGCATTTTTGACAAATGCATACACCTGTCAAGAATCATCTTCACTTTTTTTGTCCTTTCCTGATTTTCTAGCCAACAGAAGCAATTGCTTTTGACAATTGCCTTAGGATGTCATATAAGTTAAACGTATATTCTCTTGTTTTTGGCTTCTTTTGTTCATTTATTTATTTTTACTTGTTTATTTTTCGAGACAGGCTTTTGCTATTGAACCCAGATTGGCCTTAACCCCATGATCTTTCTGCCTCAGTTTCCAAAGGGCTATGATTATAAGCATATACCACCACATCAAACATAATCTGATTTCTTTCACAAAACCTGAGTATTTATGAGACTAATTCATGTTGGTTGTGTCAGTTATAACTCATAGTTTTTATGACGATGACCTTGTTCTCATAATTTTTCTGACAGTAAATTTTTGTTCATTTTATCTTCACAGATTTCCGAGAGTTGAAAATTTCCCCAGTAGAATACTTTGTAAAGCATGAAATACTTTTAACCAGACAAATAAAAAAAAAAATAGTATGCTGTTCTGTGCAAAGGCTCTGACATACTACCCCAGGAATGATACTAGACATTAATTTTCTAATATTTCTCTAAACTATATTTTGACTGGTTGCTAAAGATTTAGAAGTAAGCATATTCTTTGTACATAGATATACGTGTTTATAGAATATGTTTGAATTTCTTAGGATTATGTACCGAAGGACTATACCGTGTTAGTGGAAATAAAACTGATCAAGACAACATTCAAAAGCAGTTTGATCAAGGTAATTGCAAAATAAAATTGTCTTACTGTTTTCCATGTTAGAATTTTACAGTAGGAAATTTGCTGTTTTTATTTAAAACTTATAGAAATGGATATGGAGAGGAAAGCATTTAAAGTGTGATTAGAAATAATAAATGCATAGTAATTGCCACAGTAAAAAGTATAGAAGAACTGGGAAAAGTCTGTCGTAGCACTAACAAGAAAATACTGAGCCTACCATGGTTGGTGCATAACTTTATTCCCAGCACTGAGGAGGCAGAGGCAGGAGGATCTCTGAGTTACATGACAGCTAAGGCTGCATAGTGAAATATTGTATTTAAAAAAGGGAGGGAGAGGGGGAAAAATAAAATGTTGACTCTTTTAGTCGTCTTAGGAAGGTTGATATTAGGCAATTATAAGAGAAAGTGGAAATATCAAACTTAAAATACATTTAGAATAAAATATTTGAAACAGTTGAGTAAAGAAAGTACAGTATTAGCTATATTTTCATGTGTGAAGGCTAGAAGACAAAGAATTTATTGAAAAGAGGATACTCAGAATTGAAACCGTCTGTTGTAGGCAATAAAATTTATAGGTCTTATTTAGAAATAATAAGAATCTTTTTTTCATTATGCTAAGACTACAGGGATTTAGGTAAAGCAAATATTTTGAGGTAAACTATGATATAATATGGTCTATGTACTGTTTCTTACCCCACTTTATATTTTTAATCCAGTAAGCTGTCTTAAAACAATAACAGAATCTATAAAGCCAGTGCCAGAATTAGGAAGGCAATAAATTTACATATGGTGGATTAGTAACTATTGTATTAAAAAAAAAAAGTACTATATAAAAGTCCTTTTTTAATGTAACAGACAACTAATCTTTAGGAGCAAATTCATAAGTGAGTTCCTGACTAGTAAGGAACTCCATGTGTGATCAAAGATAAAGATAAAAAATAAAAATTACTAGGGGAAAGTAAGTGAATATTTTTATAGTCTTTGACTGGAAAAGACCTAAATTTGGTAAGAAACCTTGGAAGCATAAATGAATATCAATCAAGGCTGCCTAAAAATGTAAAAATTCTTAGTGAGAATATAAAAACAAAATCTTCAAGAAAGTATGGACTTAACCAAACAGATTAAACTATTAGTATATATTTGAAAATATACTAAGATCCTAACATTGACAAATTTTTATTTTAAGATTGTATTTATTATCAGTGACAAAGATTGTTGTTAATGTAGGCAAACACATTTTGTATTCCTGTTGTGGGTACGTTTTGAGTGGTATTTTTTTATGTTAAAATTCAGATTCCTTTGTTTTGGAAATTGTACTTCAAGGAATTTGCATTTGCATTCCAAAAGCCTTTGCATGAGCCTGTTAAAGGCATTTGTTGCACTATTTATAATTTTAAAGGGAGGGGAACCACCCATGTGTCTATAAATGTTGAATATTGTGATGAGGTAGAACAATTATGTTTGTTAAAATGACAAAACGTCACTCACTGAGTGGTGTATACATGTGTATAAAAAGTATGCTATGTTGCCAAAAATATTCTCTATTTTTTAAGAAGTATTAGAGAAACTGTATTTTATAATGTCCAGTTGGTACAAGTCCTCTAATAGTTGGGGCTCTTGAGTTCAATTTAATCTTGCCACTTACTGTCTGCCTCAGGCAGGTTAATCTTTCTAGATCTCATTCTTTTTTCATCACACAGTGGAGATGAAAGAATAAGTAGGAGGCTAATTAGATAATGATTGACCAGTAAGATGTGTAAATCGGTCATGTTTTCTTTAAGTGATCATAAACAAAGCTCAAATGAAGCATGCATGGGAATAATTTTTTCTGATCTATATTTTTATACTTAAGTGACTTGTTAATATCAAATAAACCTTATGATACACCTTTAGTATGTTCCTTTCTTGTTCTTTAAATCAACCCTTTACTGATAAGGTAATTATTTAACCTGTTTATTTAAAACATTACAATGTAGAGTTTAAACATCCAAATAGAATTGAGATACATAATTTGTATTGTTTGTCTATTTTTTATGGTCTTTTAAATAGTCTGTGTATAAGCAGGAAATTAGAAAAGCAGTATATTAAAATTCTTTAATGCACTATATGCTGGTATGTAAAATACAGTTTGTTGATAAAAATGCTTTCTAGAACATAGGGTTGTCTCTTCCTGATCTGTGTAGATTGCTGGCTTGTGAGGAAAGATAATTAATGAGAAATGTCTTTTGGCAGAAAAGTACCCATTCAGTTTACCATTAACCAGTAGTAAGTTAAAATTTCATTCTCTCAACTAAGTTTTGATTTTTCTTACAGATCATAATATCAATCTAGCATCAATGGAAGTGACAGTAAATGCTGTAGCTGGAGCTCTCAAAGCTTTCTTTGCTGATCTGCCCGATCCTTTGATTCCATACTCACTCCACCCAGAGCTATTGGAAGCAGCAAGTAAGCATAAACTTTTTTTTGCCAGGAGTAGGGTGCAGGAGTGAGGAAGAGTGATGATGGTGGTTTTTGAATATTGTTTGCCAGAATCATCTATGCACTAGAATTTATAGTTAAAAATTCACTTTATTAGAAACTATGTCTAAAGGTATCCACCAAATTTAGATAGAATCAGGGTCCCCATAAATGACCGTAGGGATTTTGGTTTTAGCTACTCTCACAGATAATGAGGGGCAGGGGAAGTGTGCACTGAGATCAGAAGAGGCTGTTGGGTTTCCTGTTTTATTACTGTCCACCTTGTTCCAAGACAGGTCTGTTCTCCCTCTCCCTCCTACTCCCACTCCCGCGGTGAAGCTAGATTTGCAGCCAGTAAGCGCCAGGATCCTGCAGTCTCTTCCTCTTACCCTCACAGTCCTTGGGTTACAAGAAGCTATTCATGACCCAGCTTTTTACATGGGTGGTAGAATCTGAACGTAGGTCTTCATGCGTGCTTGCTAGATAATTTAAATGTCCCTAAAAGATGAGAATTTTTTAACTTGCTAAGTAATTTAGGGTTGGGCAGGTATGTCACAAAGATGACGTACTTGATTCAAAGTATATTCCTAGTTTAACATCAGTCACTCAATATTTCCAAAATGCACATATTATTTATCTGGAAAATGGAATCTAAGTCCATTTGGGCATCAAGAAACCTAGTGCTTAATTTGCATTGGAGGCTAAAATTAATGCAATTTCTAGGTTTTTTCCTTTTAAGAGGTCTTCAAATTCTTTTAAATGAGATTACTTTTATTTTAGAAGTTCTCAGTTGTTTGGTTTTTAATTAAAATATAGTTCTGAGCCAGCAAGGTGTCTTTGTAGGTAAAGGTGCTTGCCACCAAGCCTGACAGTCCTGAGTTCAAGCCCCAAAGACACATGGTGAAAGGAGAGAAATAACTTCATCAGGTTGTCTTGTGACCTTTATTACATGCATGGTGGACATGCCTTTCCCCTTTTCCACTTCTACACACATAAACTAGTGAAGTGTAGAAAGGAAAAATAAATTTTAAAAGAGGGATAGAGAGATGGCTCAGCAGTTGAGAGCAGCACTTCCTGCTCTTGTGAAGACCTGAGTTTGTTTTCCAGCTCCTATTCAAGGTAGCTCACTACCAACTGGCTCCAGGTGGTCCAACACCTTCTTTACTTCTAGGGGACCTGCACTTGAGTAACATACCCCTCCCTACAAAGACATACACAAAAATTATAGAAAATAAAAATCTTAAAAATAAAATCTCTTTTTAGAAAGCAACAATTTTTTAAAATTTGCAATATATTGTTACAATATTCATATTCCCAGATGTTACTTCTTGGTCATAAACACTAGCCTTGGAAAGGCTTAGCTTAGAAGTAAAATGTGACAAATGAGAATTTTTACTACTCGATAATTCTACCACAATGTGAAGGTGAGAGAACAGAAAATAAATCTCTTATCTCCCATTTGTTGCAGGACTGTATTCTAGTTGTCCTGTTTTATAATTGCATAAACTTGAAAAATAACTATATTAAATGTGTATGTAAGGAAATATTTTGGTAGAGGAGATTACAAGTAAGTAAACTGGATAACTATGGCTTCAAGGCTATATTGTGCCTGTCACTGGCTTTGGAAGTCTTAAAACTTGATGACATATTAAAATAAAAACAATTTATGTTTCACAATTTCTTTGAAGGTGCCCATTATTCATTTATTACATGTTGTCTGTAACTGACTACTTTTGTTGTTCAACTGTAGGACTCAGTAGTTGTACCCATAAAGCCTGAAATTCTTACCATCTGTAGCAGGAATATTAAAGAGATTAACATCCTTATAAGTAAATAGGTAACTTTAAATAAATTCATTCATGTATATATATATATATATAACAGTCTTAATTTTTGTAGTATATATTAATTGAATATTAGTATCAGATATTTGTTAAGTTCATTAATTTTACCCAAAAACTTCTCTTACAGAAATCCCAGATAAAACAGAACGCCTTCATGCCTTGAAAGAAATTGTTAAGAAATTTCATCCTGTAAACTATGATGTATTCAGATATGTGATAACACATCTAAACAGGTACTTGCAAATAAAATAAATAAGACTTTGTGTTTCAAACCTGTAACTTTTATAAGGGAATACAGACTCAGCACAAGGTTCTGTTTGGGTTCTTTGTAATGGCTGTCTACATGATCTAATTCATATCTATATGGTTACTATTTTGCACATAGGATCAGTGTTTGTTTCTGTGCTTGTTTAGTTATTGTACTAAGTATTAAACCCAGGGCGTACCATATGCTAGGCAAGAACTCTATCACTGTCCTATATACTCAACCCAACAATGTAATTTTTTTTCACAATTTTTCTTTAGAACTTCTCTTGTGTAGAGTCTTAGAATTTTAGCTGGAAAACGACAGTAGCCAAATAAACTTAAATCAACCTATTTGGAGAGAAATTGGGGTTAAAAGAGGGAAATTGTAAATAGAATAAAACTCTTACGTGGTTCACTTCACCTTGTCTACTATACTGTGTTATATATTTTGTGTATTTCATATGGGGAAATTTTATCACAAACTGTCCTATTATCCAAAACAGGATACTAATTCCTGTATTCATAACTCTATAAATGTATTACAGTTGGAATTTATATTGAAAGGCACTGTAGTATATTAACTAAGACTAGCTCAGACAATGTAGTCAAATAAGTATTTGCAATGTTGTTATAATCATAACCTTAAACAAATTACCCATTGCTGAGTTATAAAAACGAGAAAGATAGTACTTCATCAAGTTGTTCTGAAGACTGGATAGGTGTTTTTGGTTTTGTTTTGGGTGGGGTTTTAAATTATTATTTGTTTATATTTTTATTTGCACAAATATAAGTAAAAATAAACTTTTACAAAACGTTTATTCAAAAAATATCTATAGTGGCAACTTTTTTTTTTTTTACATTTTCTTTTTTTTTTCTTTTTTTTTTTTTTTATTGGATGATTTATTTACATTTCCTATGTTGTCCCCTTACCCCATCCCCCACCACCCCCTCGGAACCCCCAATCCCCTCGCCCCTCCTCCTTCTTCTCTGTGGATGTAACCTCTATCTACCCCCCCCCACACTCCCACCTCCCCACCCTCAAAATTCCCACCCCCTGGGGCATCCAGCCTTCATGAGGTCAAGGTTCTCTTCTTCCACCTATGCCCAGCAGGGCCCTCCACTTTTACATATTCAGCTGAAGCCCTGGATCCCCCCCTAAGTGCTCCCAGGCTGGTGGTTTAGACCCTGGGAGCTGTGGTTGGTTGGTATTGTTGCTCTCCTCATGGTGCCACAAACCCTTTCAGCTCCTTCAGTCTTCACTCTAACTCCTCTATTGAGAACCCCATGATCAGTTCAATGGCTAGTTGTGAGCATCTGCCTCTGAATATGTCTGACTCTTGAAGGCCTCTGAGGAGATATCCATATCAGGCTCTTATCAGCATGCACTTCCTGTCTTCCACATCAGCATCTACCTTTGGTGATTGCACATGGGATAGATACTCAGGTGGAGTGGTCTTGAGACGGCCCCTCCTTCAGTTTCTGTCCCTCACTTTGTCTCCATATTTGCTCCCTTGAGTATTTTGTTGCTCCTTCTAAGAAGGACCGAATCACCCTCACTTGGTCTTCCTTCTTTATGGGCTTCATGTGGCCTGTGAGTTGCATCTTGGGCATTTCAAGGTTCTAGGCTAATATCCAATAATCAGTGAGTGAATACCATGTGTGTTCTTTTGTGATTGGCTTACCTCACTCAGGATGATAATTTCTAGTTCTATCCATTTACCTAGGAACCTCTCGAATTCATTGTTTTTAATAGCTGAGTAATACTCCATTGTGTAAATATACCACATTTTTTGAATCCATTCCTCAGTTGAAGGACATCTGGGTTCTTTCCAGCTCCTGGCTATTATAAATAAGGCTGCTATGAACATAGTTGAGCATATGTCCTTGTTATATGTTCGAGCATCTTCTGGGTATATGCCTAGGAGTGGTATAGCTGGATCCTCGGGTAATGTTATGTCCAATTTTGAGGAACCGCCAGACTGATTTCCAAAGTGGTTGCACCATCTTGCAGTCCCACCAACAATGGAGGAGTGTTCCTCTTTCTCCACACCCTCGCCAGCATCTACTATCACCTGAGTTTTTAATCTTAGCCATTCTGACTGGTGTGAGATGGAATCTCAGGGTTGTTTTGATTTGCATTTCCCTGACGACTAAGGATGCTGAACATTTCTTTAGATGCTTCTCGGCCATTCGAGTTTCTTCCGTTGAAAATTCTTTGTTAAGCTCTATACCCCATTTTTTAATAGGGTAATTTGGTTGTCTGGAGTCTACTTTCTTGAGTTCTTTGTATATATTGGATATTAGCCCTCTATCAGATGAAGGATTGGTAAAGATCTTTTCCCAATTTGTTGGTTGTCGTTTTGTCCTATTGACAGTGTCCTTTGCCTTACAGAAACTTTGCAATTTTATGAAGTCCCATTTGTCAATTCTCGATCTTAGAGCATATGCCATTGGAGTTCTGTTCAGGAACTTTTCCCCTGTGCCCAAGTATTCGAGGCTTTTCCCCACCTTCTCTTCTATTAGTTTCAGTGTATCTGGTTTTATGTGGAGGTCCTTTATCCACTTAGACTTGAGCTTTGTACAAGGGGATAAGAATGGATCAATTTTCATTCTTCTACATGTTGTCTTCCAGTTGAACCAGCACCATTTGTTGAAAATGCTGTCCTTTTTCCACTGGACAGTTTTAGCTCCTTTGTCAAAGATCAAGTGACCATAGGAGTGTGGGTTCATTTCTGGGTCTTCAATTCTATTCCATTGATCTTCCTGCCTGTCTCTGTACCAATACCAGGTAGTTTTTATCACTATTGCTCTGTAGTACAGCTTGAGGTCAGGGATGGTAATTCCTCCAGAAGTTCTTTTATTGTTGAGAATAGTTTTCGCTATCCTGGGTTTTTTGTTATTCCATATGAATTTGAGAATTTCCTTTTCTAACTCTGTGAAGAATTGAGTTGGGATTTTAATGGGGATTGCATTGAATCTGTAGATTGCTTTTGGCAAGATGGCCATTTTTATTATATTAATCCTGCCAATCCATGAGCATGGGAGATCTTTCCATCTTCTGAGATCTTCTTCAATTTCTTTCTTCAGAGACTTGAAGTTCTTGTCATACAGGTCTTTCACTTGCTTGGTTAGATTCACACCAAGGTATTTTATGTTATTTGCAACTATTGTGAAGGGTGTCATTTCCCTAATTTCTTTTTCAGTCTGTTTATCTTTCATGTAGAGGAAGGCTACTGATTTGTTTGAGTTGATTTTATAGTGGCAACTTAAAGAATTCTGCAGAGTTATGTGGCTCAGTGGGATAGCATTTGCCTAAATTCTGGGAAGCCCTGAGTATGATCCCTACCACACGAAAATAGACTGCAATAATCGTAAGACCCAAGTGAAGTTCATTTTAATCTGCTCTTTTAAAGCTTTATTATTGCTATCAGTGGTGATATATAAAATTATGCTATCTTCATAACCCTTCTTCTAAGTCCCCTTTTTAAAAAAAGTCAACTTAATAATAATATAGTAATGGTTGGTATTTTGTTAACACGGTATATAAAAGCTTTAAACCTTAATATAGAGACCAGTGATATTTTGTGAATATATCAGGCTGAATTAAAAATTGGACTTGAAGCCAGGCAGTGGTGGTGCACACCTTTAATCCCAGAACTTGGGAGGCAGAGGCAGGCGGATTTCTGAGTTCGAGGCCAGCCTGGTCTACAGAGTGAGTTCCAGGACAGCCAGAGATGCACAGAGAAACCTTGTCTCGAAAAACCAAAAAAAAAAGGACTTGATTTAAAGGATTATGAAAAGATGACAGAGCAGAGTATATACAAAGAGTCATAATACTGGCCCCCTTCAAAGTTATCTTAGGTATTGTATTCTGGAACTCTCTTTGGCTATGTTCAAAAATAAACAGCACAGCCAAAAGCATATTTGATGCATGAAGAATACAAAGAGGAGGCTTATTTGAACTGGAAAAAATAAGAATGGGAAAAGTAAAAAGATGGAGGAACAATGCCAGGTTATACTAGATAGTACTGGTCTCATTATGACTCATTGAGTAGCTTTAGTCTGTATAATCATACAAAAGTTTGTTTCAGAATATACAAATCTTTTTTCACTATACATACTTTTTTTTTTTTTGCTAGGAGGCCATTCTTTAATAAAAATGCACTATGTGATTTGCAGCCTTTATTGGAAAATAGAGCATAAGCTATTTAAACTTCAGTTTTAAAGGAAACTTTACTGTACAGTTCTAGTTTTCTTTTGAATTATTGTGATAAATACCATAGCCAAATGCAACTTAGTGAAAGAAAGGGGTTTTTGGCTTATGTTTCCCACATCATTGAAGATAAATGCAAGCCAGGCGCTGAAGCAGACTGCAGAGGAATGCTGTTGCTGGCTGGCTCTCTAACTCCTGCTCAGCTAATGGTTTTTATACAGCCCAGCACTCTTTGCCTTGCACATGAATCTTTAGGGAAGAAACTAGCACACAGACATGCCCACAGGCTGATCTGTTGGAGACAGTATCCTGAAGTCACTTTGACAGCTGGAGTTAGCTAGGAGCTAGACTGTAACTTGGTAAAGCCTTTTTTTTTTTTTTAAGTGCCGCATAGTCTCACAAGTACTGAGGACATATAAACAGTGAACAAAATAGTCAAAGCCTTCATGAGGCTAGATTTCTAGGAGAAAGAAATACGTTTCTGACAGATTGACAAGATTGTACTTATAATGTGGAATGATTCTTTGATCATATTCTTCCACTTTTCATATCCAGTGAGTGTCAAGTCCATTTTTTCCTAATTATGTTTCCATTGTCTTTCCCTTACTACAACTTTATTTACTATTTCTCATTCAGGAACTATTAGTGTTAACAATTGTTGCCAACTTTTATTTTTACCCTCCCTTGATTCTGATGCCAAGATGATCTTTCTAAAACATTTTTGCATAAAGATTTTTAGATGTTTTTATTTTGTATGTTTTGCCTATACATCTGTGCACCACCTGTGTTTCTGGTCATACGTGGGCATCAGTTGCCCTAGATCTAGAGTTTCAGATAGTTACTGATCACAGTGTGGGTGATGGGATCTGAACTTGGGTTCTCTATAAGAGCAACAAGTATTTTTAACTGCTGAGCCATCTCTCTAGCCCCAAAGATTTTTCAGTATTTAAAAATAGTCCTTTATCTCTGTAGAATAGACTCTAAAATGATTAACACTAGTTGTACTAAGTGGTTACACTTCCTTCCCTTTTCTCATAACAGCAGTTATTAGCAACTATTAATAATAGCAGGGATCCAGGAGTCTCCGTTTATGGCACATCTTAACATGCTGCCAGTACTTTGAGAGTATGGTACCCAAAACTATGGCCATCTAAGAATTTATGTGGAATCTATGTTATTCAGCCTTAGCACAGACATAATAAATCACAAACATCAGATAGTCACCAGCAGTTTATATTTAACAAGCTCTCCAGAAGGTTCTAATAAATGCTATAGCCACTGTTCTAACTCCCTTTCCCTACCTTACTACCATTCTTCCCACATTCTTCCTTTGACTTAACTTTAAACTTTTACCTTGTCCATGAAGCTTTCCCTAGTTAACCAAATTTCTGATACAGTATCTTCAGTTAGCATACTGTATCCATAACTTTGTAGGTAATCCCAGAGCCTAGCACTTGACTGCTACATAGAAATACCACACTGTACATACTAACTGCCTGCTACTTATTAAGAAATGGTTGACTTTATTCTGTTTCAGTTGAATCTCTTTTAATTAGAACACAATGTTTGGCTGCTACATTTTACTTTAGATAAGTGATTCCTGTGTCTAGGAGTTTCCTATGGCTTGTGTTTTTTGTTTTTGTTTTTTGTTTTGTTTTGTTTTGCTTTGCTTTAGTCTTAAAGATTTTCCTGCTATGCTATCTGGACAGTTTTTTTCTGCCTTTTCTTTTGTACCTCAGTCAGGCCTGGAATCCACTATTCTATTGCTTCAGCCTCCTGATACCTTTGGATTACAGATGTATACTACTAGGCCCAGTTTGAACTATTTCTTTCCTATTTATCTGAATGCAGTAATTCATAGTTTACATCTTTTTTTTTTTTTTTTTTTTTTGGTTTTTCAAGACAGGGTTTTTCTGTGTAGTTCTGGCTGTCCTGGAACTCACTCTGTAGACCAGGCTGGCCTCAAACTCAGAAATCCTCCTGTCTCTGCCTCCCAAGGGCTGGGATTAAAGGCGTGCGCCACCACTGCCCAGCCATAGTTTACATCTTAAGGTTAGCTTCTCATGTGTCTTGCTTACTCAAGACAGTGATAGTGCTTGCTCACATATTTAAAGGACTGGGTAAAAATCATTTAAACTCTATGAAGGTTTGTCAATTGATATTGAATCATGAGAAATTTTAAAGTAGAATTTATTGAGTATTGTCTTACAGAAAAAATATTAATTTTAATAGTGTACAAAATGGTTACTGTTTTAAAAGATTGTTCTTAGTCTGCTAGGAGCTAACTTTCTTGAAAGTTAAAAATATTCTTGACTGGATAGGTTTTCCAAAGTTGGTTTAAAAGAGATGACATACCCTGATTGATGTCTTCATCTCCCACGGTATCTAACAACTTAGATGCACATGATATGTGCCACTTGGCCTTCTGAACCTAGAGGGAAAGGATTTTTTTTAATTGAAAAGACCTCTATTTGTAAAGCTTTAAGACTTGGGGTGCAAGCAACTGTCTAGCATTCTCACAAGAAATATGTATTGATTGCTCTCTTGTTTTAGAATATAGTTGAATATAGAATGCTAAGAAAAAATTTAATTGGAAGATAAAATTAGCATGAAAGGAAAACTAGCTTTGAGAATCTGTAATTGCAATGATTTCTGATTTTTTTTTCTTTTTTTCTCCGTTTTATAATTTCAGGGTTAGTCAACAAAATAAAATCAACCTAATGACAGCAGACAACTTATCCATCTGTTTTTGGCCAACTTTGATGAGACCTGATTTTGAAAATCGGGAGTTTCTGTCTACCACTAAAATCCATCAATCTGTCGTTGAAACATTTATTCAACAGTGCCAGTTTTTCTTTTACAATGGAGAAATTGTAGAAACTGCGAACACTGTGGCTCCTCCACCAACTTCAAATCCAGGACAGTTGGTGGAATCAATGGTACCACTTCAGCTGCCACCACCATTGCAACCTCAGCTAATTCAACCACAATTGCAGACAGATCCTCTTGGTATTATATAGATAGAATGTGATTGCAGATGGCCTGAAATTGGACAAAAACAAATCTAGACATGCATGTTTCAGGGGTTAGTAGTATATTTCATGTTTCATACAGATAATCCACATCAAAATGATGAGACATTTTCTCTTTGAACTATATGGTATTCCCTATTCAGTTACATTATGAATCTAAAAACATGTGGTAAGCATGACTGGAGAGGTTTAATTTTTATAAACAAAAAAAAAAAATAGTTATAAAAATGCAAAGCTGCTGCTGCATGCAACCTTATTGCAATCAGTATATCATTCCTGTGGCAATTTCTGTCACATTATATTGTGAATACAATTTTTCTATAGAAATTAAATGATTTAAAAACTCATATATGAAATGTTTAATGCTTTCAGCCTGCTTTATGGCTGGTTTTGTTATTTGATTGCTAATTTGGGGACCTGATTCCAGCAGTCTGTATAGATAACTAAAGCCCAGTTAAGTATTTTTTAATTTCAGGTTAATATGCCACGCTTGGGATGTTTGAAAGAAAGAAAAAAAAATACATGTAACATATTTCACATTTCTGCACCTTCTTCATCTTCTAAGTAAATCTGTGGATGATTTGATGAGGAGTGAATGAACCTGTTTCTTTTACTCACATACCAAGGGCACACTTGTGGTTCAAGTGAGTTGATAACGTGATGTAAAGAAAAGAATCGTCGTCACCAACTCATTTCTTTATGATCTATGATGAAAAATACATTTTGTATACACGGTTAATTCTGTAAACAGATGCATGTTCAAAAGATCTTGATGGTCTTGTAATCTTAATCTAATATATTTTAGATATTTTAATTTTTCCCTCTTGGGGAATACATTTAGTATAGTGTAGAAAAATGCTTCATGACATTTTCATATAAGGTTATATAACTTTTCATACATAAACATGAAGTTTGTTGTAGAAAGTTCTTTAAACCAAACATTTAATCTAGGATTTCAATTTAATCTGTTCCTTGAATCTATTTTTATGTGGCCCTTGAGAATATATCCCAAAAAATTCCATTGCTAATACAGCAATAAAAATACTTTGGGTACTGACAGACTCCTTGGAGTATGTATATATAAAATCAAAAACTTGGACTCATATTCTTTTTGTGATGTGTTGTTCTACAATCCAGAATGGCTTTTGCACCATTTTTTTAAACCAGTTTCCCACCCCCCTCCCCTTTGCTGTTGGTACCAGAGTTGCTATAAATGACTGCTGCTTTAGGGGTTAAATATTTTGTTAGTGAAGATACAACCAGAACACTAAATTATGATAAAACTTTCTGGCCGAGTGAGAGATAAATTTAGTTGGGCTATATTCAAAATTATTTTATTATCAAAACCATACCATTTGTTTTACTGGATAAGGAAAAGTGGTTTGCTTTTTACTGCTGGGTCATATTTTGTGTAGTAAAGAAATTCTTTGGTCAATGTTGTAATCTTTATATTTCAATTTTAAGGTTTCCTTATTTGTATTATAGTAAATTGATGATTTTGAGATTCAAGGCTCCTAAGAGTTTGATTTGCTCCATTTTGTCTTAAAATATTCTTTCGCAATTGTTATATCTTAGGTATTGTACTTCCAGTTTCAACCAAGATGTCAACATGAACCAGGCTACTATTGAAGTACATGTATATTATAAATTATCTTGTGTTATTATCTTTTCTAAGAGAACAAAGTCCCTATTATTCCTATTGCAAAGCACACAGGAATTTAAGAAAGTACAGTAATTTTTAAAAAAAATATCCGGTAAATGTAGTATTCTTAACTTGTTCTATATTACTTATACCTATTGTCTATATAGCTTTAATTTATAGCTGTCAGTTTAACATTGGCATGTCTGGCAAAGAAAATTAAACTTTAAGAGTTTTATAAACTGTTTCTAGGTTGCTAAAGAATTTATTTTTCTACTATAAATGGTATAGACAAAGCATCAACTATGTACAGGATAAAAGCCTGACTATTTCTATTGAAAGTAGGCTTACAAGAAAATTTTCAGAACTGTTCATATCTTTGGTTCATTCTGTCCTAACTTTACTATTGTAATATGTGAGTCCCAGTTTATTTAAGCTATTATCTTTTATAATGTGTTAATTTAACATTCATTTACATTTAAAACTATTTTTGTTATTAAAATTAGCATTTATAAGTTTCCACATTAACCACCTTACACCTCTTCCAAAACTGATCTTACTTTTCTATGCATTCTATCATTGATTTGACACACTACATAGTGAATCACCTAAATATTCTACATCTGGTTCATTTTACTACTAGGTTACAGATATTAAAAATTAAAGTATGGTTTAAAGCTCAGTCTGTTACACTGACTTGTGTTTGTTTTTGGCCAAGGGTATAGGTATGTTTTTAAATACTAGAACAGTAATTCTAAGAAGAGAATAACATAATTAAATCATTTGTTGCTTGTAAGTTACTGGAACATTGCACTGTTTAGGAACACACACATATACACATGTCGTACATGAGACTGAATGGGTTTAAAGAATAGTAGATAGTCTTAAAATAATGGGTCAGCACTGACATTCACAATATTAAAAAATTCCATCTATACACGTTGCCATTGTTTCATTTAAAGTTCAGTGCTTATTCCATTATCAGGCTCAACAGTGTTCAGATAATATAAAGAAGTATAGAGGGGTCTCTGTTTTGGGCTTTTAGTAGATGATTTTAGGAGTCAAATTCTATTTGTTAGGCACTTGTCAAGGTATACAGATATCTTACGAACAAAATTCCAGGCACAATATATGTGTTTAAAGTGATATATTTAGTAGTACTTCCCAAGCCCCTTAACATTCACAGTGTAATGTAACGGCAATCTTACCCACAAAAGCAGACCTTTTTTTTCTATACCATATGTAAATATTAAAAAATTTTTGGTCGGTCGGTTGGTTTGGTTTGGTTTGGTTTGGTTTGGTTTAGTTTGGTGTTTTTTGTTTGTTTTTTGTTTTTGAGGTACTAAAATCAACTTTCTATAAACATTTGAAATGAAATCTTAGGCTTTAGCTTCCATGATTATTTTTAGTTTATTATAGAGTAATAATATGCTGCTGTTTGTCCGTGATTTTAAAATGTCAAAAGTAAGTAGTTTGTTTCTTTTAATAGTTAATATAATTTTATGCTTTATCCAGATGCTGCTGCCATTAAGTATCAGTAAAGCTCCTGATATACTGAATGCTTTGCATAAAACATTAAGAAGCAGTGCAATTTTAAATTAAAGTTGCCTATATTCACCATTTTGCTTGTAAAAATTAGCTAATTTTAGGTAAAATAGGAACACTTTAAAAGTTTTATATTAATATAAGATTTTACTGGATGGTTTTATTATTGAACTTTTCTTATACAATGAAAGGAAATGAAAACCTCATTATGAGTATATGTGAATATAAGCTTTTAAAAATAGGAGGCTACTGAAGGTGTGTAGCTCAATTGGTAGAGTGTTTGCCTAGCTTGCATGAAGCCCTGGATTCAGCCCTCACTCAGTACTACATAAACCAAGCCTGGTGGCACCTATCTATAATCCTAGCACATAGGAGATAGAGGCAGAAAAATCAAAAGTTCAGAATCATCCTTGACTACATAGTAACTACAGTCTGCAACACATTAGAACCTACCTTTTAAAAAGGTTTTAAAAGTAGTTAGAATAACAAAATAAAATGTTCAAATTAAACAAGTGTACATGAATTTGGATTTTGAGAGAGATTCTTTCAAACTACTGGAAATGTTTTAAAACCTAGTTACAGCAGAGCTAAATTAGTATTGGAAAATAATGTTTCTGCTTTTTCTTCATGGCTTGAAAATAAGATAAGCCCACTTTTTGACTATATGCTGTCATCTGTGGGTCTGGTGAGTTTTCTTTTAGTGAAATATTTATGTGTATCTTCTATTTGAATTCTTAGGCTTTTCCAGTTACCAAATACCTGAAAATAATATTTTAATTCTTCAAAGTACACCAAAACATTTTTAATTATAGCATCTGTCTGGTTTGAACACACATTCTTACATTCAGTGATTTGCTGTGATACAGGAACCCTAGTTTTTATAAAACTGTTAAAAATCTAATTTTAATGAACTTGGAGAAATCTTAACTATTTAGTTAACTCTCATCATCATCCTATATACATGATTATATCATAGACACAATTATTACCTTTTCCTGAAGGATGGAGAAAGGAGGAACCACAGGATTTCATATTCGCATCTTAGTTGAATGGTGTAAAATTAGTTTTTATGGAAATTTTAGAAGTAGCCAGATTGATTTTAGGAAGCCAGTGAATAACAGTAAACATTAACATTTTTTATATTTAGAGTTACAACATGGACAGTTCTTACCAGTTGTTAGAAGTGTTAGGGTTTGCAAGTGTGTGTGTGAGTATGTGTGTGTATGCACACACATACTCACACACACACATATATTTCATAGATACATCTATAAGTAGCTGTCAAAGAATTTGTGGTTGAAAAACGAAAGTTGTCAATCATCATAGTGCAGATTTTATGTTCAGTTTTCTTGAAATAGTGAAGTCGCTGTGAGTAACTTAGTAATGGTAGTATCATAGTAGTATCATGTTTTCAAATTTATATTGTTTTATTTCCATATAAGCAATACAGATTTACCAACTGATTCACCAAGTCTTTTTAATTATCTGTACCTCACTAGATCATTTTCTTGTGTACTTGATTTGTGAATGCTTTGGTCAGTATTGTCTAAATCTAAAATATTTTGTCAGTTTTATGTTTGAAGCTCTTTTTCTCCTGATTCTTGTTATTTCATTTTGTCCAGATATAAAACAACAGAAAAACAGAAAGCTAGCTGTATTTTCCCATGTTATGTCTTAAAATTTCTCTTCTAGATTTGCCATTTGTTGGCAGTATACATGCCTACAGAATTTTTTTTTTTTTTTTTTTTTTTTTGGTTAGAACATTGTGAGGCTTTCTAGGAGTGTAGTTTAAAATGCAAATTGTTTTATCTAGTACTTCAGTTACAAAATAACTGTTGGGTTACATTAAAATTACTATTTTTATGGTATAGATCAGGAATTAACAATTTTTCTCCTTTAGGAAGTCAGATAATAAATATATTAAAGTTTCCAGGCCAATTGATCACTGTGGCACTACTTATTTTTACTCCTCTAGTTTGTAAGTAGCCATTAACAAAATAGAAATGAATTTGAGTATTCTAACTAAATTCTTAGGCCAGTAGAAGTTAGTTGACTGGTCACTAGCATAGATTGTTAGTAAAATTAAAGCCTCCAGTCTATTTCTGTATCTGTATGTAATAACTGATTATTCATAATACAGAGTGAAGTAAAATTTTCCTAGTGACAGTGATACTTAACCATTTTTTTCCAATGGAAATTGTCTTTTTCAGTTGTAGGAAATAAACAAGAACTATATTTGAAGGTTCTTATTTATATTCTGATGGGTGACTTAAAGATGGTCATTATATAATATTTGCTAATCATTAAAACAGTAAATATTACACTTTAGCAGATTTTTTGAGAATCATTAGATTGCAAAGATATGTGGCAATTAATGAGTTGTCTCCAGCATGTGTGCCTCACTCACTAGACAGACAGTACTTAGATTCTTGAGAAATTACATGGAAGAGACAATCCAGCAGAACATTCAGAATTTAAATGCAAATAACCATTTGGAATTTTACTGGACTTTGCAGAGTTCAGAATGGAGAAGACTATAAGTGTACTCATAGAAAACAAGTTGTGCTTTGGTATTTCCAATCAGTAGAGAAATTATATTGCATATAGAGGGAAAGTTGCCAGAAGAGGATATATCTTCTTCACAACTTTATTCTCTGGTCATAACAAAATAAACTTGATGGCAGATCAGAGAATTCACTCTTGCAAAATGAATGAATTGACCATGAGAAAGCATTTACCCAGAACTCCATGTTGAAAAACTGTTAGATACTGAAGGAAAATGATGGTAACTATAAATCAAACCTCTTAAAACCAGTCTCCAAAGTAATCTTCAGTGATCATGGTTCTTGGAATTCACATTGTGTATGGCTCTACATTTTTGTTCTAAGTCTTTTTATTCTATGTGATTGCAAGCATCTTCTGTGAACATAAAGCACCAGTTGACTGGAAACTAAACTAGAACTAGATAAACATGTTTGGTTGCTCAAAATCCGAGGACTAAAACATAACAGCAAAATTATTTAGAATTTAATGTCCAACAGAAGTGGTGCTTCAAATACAACCATCTTTTGGTCAATGAGTAGGCTCTGCTAATAAAGTAGCTTGTTGCCAAGTCTAATAACGAGTTGGACCATAGAACTCATTTTGTACAAGGAGAAAACTACCATAAGTATCATCTGGCCTCCATCTACATGCCATCATACACACACCCACATACATACAATTCACATCCCTTGTGGATTAAATAGGTTTTCTGTATCAGAATGTATTTTTAAGAGGTTCAGACTACTGTTTTACCTGACCTGAAATAAATAAAAGAACTTTTAATTGGGAAAAAAGGAGCCACATTAAATTGTACTTGAAATTCCAAGTTTACATGTATCCATATGGCTTTGCAGGTGAGTTTTACTAAATCTTTAAAGAATAAAGCCTTTACTAGATTGATCAGGCCCACATAAACTTGCCAACAAAATTCAACAAGAATATAGGTGTAGGCAATCTTGCTCACGAATTTAAATGCAAATAACCATTTGTATGTAATGAAATTTATAATTAAGAGTTAATTTTGGAAAAAAACTACAATGCAGAATAAAGGGAAAGTATGTGATTGTGTCAGTAGATGTAAAAAGTATTTTTTAAAATTTTATATAGGTATAAAAATATCAGTTGGTGTTGCCATACTGTTTTCAGGCAAATGGAAAAGGAAGAAAGAGAAAAAACCCCAAAAACGTCACAGGTTATGCAGGACATTCAATCTTACAAGGTTCAATTCAGCAGAATAATGCAGTTATAAATTACAGTGACCTAAGGAAGAACAGGTCTTTTGAAATGTGCTTGAATTGAATGTTTTGTGTCTACCAAACATTGTAGACAAGGGCCTCTCAGCTTTGGCATTGTTGGCATTTGGACCAGATGGTTATTTGTATGGAGAACTATCTTGTGTATTGTAAGCTCTCTAACAACATCCCTGGCCTTTACCAGAGTTAATGCCATTAGCACTCTTATCTACACCATGAGCAGAGATCCAAAATTGCTTTAGACTTCTAGTGCTCTTTACAGAACAAAATTAACCATGGTTTGAAGCTAGTCTACATCTACTTTGAATTCTGATATAACCTACTTTCACAAAGAGGAGAC